CTCCTCCTCCTCCTTGTTATTTTCCTCTTCTCCTCTTCCTCCCCCTCCTCCTCCTCCTCCTCGTCCTCCTCCTGCTCCTCCTCCTCCTCCTCCTCCTCCTCCTCCTCCTCCTCCTTCCTCCTCTCCGCCCCCCTCCCCTCCCCTCTTCCTCCTCCTCCTCCCTCCTCCTCGTCTCGGTCCTCCTCTCCTCCTCCTCCTCTCCTCCTCTTCCTCCTCCTCCTCCTCCATCTCCTCCTCCTCCCCCCCTCCTCCCCTTTCCCCTCCCCCTCCTCCTCCTCCTCCTCCTCCTCCTCCTCCTCCTCCTCCTCCTCACTCCTCCTCCTCCTCCCCTCCTCGTCTTCTCCTCTCCTCCTCCTCCTGGCCTTCTTCTCCTTTTTCCTCCTCCTCCTCCTCCTCCTCCTCTTTCCCTTCCCTCCTCCCCTCCTCCTCCTCCTCATCCTCCTCCTCCCCCTCCTCATCATCCTCCCCCCTCCTTCCCCCTCCTCCCTATTCCTCCTCCTCCTCCTCCTCCTCCTCCACCCCATCCTCCTCCTTCTCATCATCCTGTTCCTCCTCCTCCTCCTCCCCCCCCTCCTCCGCGCTGCAGCAGTCCGGAGGCGCCGCACGAGCCCCCTTTGTAGACGAATGAAGACAAATGTGCCGTTGTGTTTTGTGTGCGTGGTGCGAGGAAGGAGGAGGAAGAGGAGGAAGAGGAGGAGGAGGAGGAGGAGGAGGAGGAGGATGTGGACGAGGAGGAGGGGAGGAGGAGGAGGAGGAGGAGGAGGAGGCCGGCTGAGAAATGAGACGATGGAGCATGTTCCCTCGCTTCCCGCGAACGGGGGCGCCACCCCTGGCGCTTGCAACCGCAAACAGCGCCAAAACACGTTCCCTGGGTTCCCGCCCCCCACCGAGCGCAGGGGAGGTCGAACCCAGGGGCGGCACCGAGGAGAGACCGCCCCCCCCCAGAGCCCACTCATCCTTCCTGCTTCTTCTCCTCAAGCCACGCGCTGCCAAGCCACGAAGTCCGGACCGCCGACCAACTCCGTCTGGCAGATGAAGGGGACAACGCAAAAAAAAGTTCACAAGCATCGCCACGAAAACCCGACCTCCGACCAATTCCGCGCAGTTCAAAAAGCAAAACGTCGGGGGCCTTGCAAACTGGGGCAACCTGGATGTCCTGCTTCATCGGCCCCCAGGCTTCTGCGCACCGCGGCCAGCAAAGGTGGCAACAGGAACGGCCCACCAAGCCATCGCTCCCGTCGTCACCAATGGCGCCCGCGAAACCCCGGGCGCCTAGCTCCGAGGGGAAACGAATAGGAGGAGGAGGAGGAGGAGGAGGAGGAGGAGTAGAGAGGAGGAAGGAGGAGGAGGAGGAGAGAGGAGGAGGAGGAGGAGGAGCGCGGGGCCGCCGCGCTTCGTCCAGCTGCAGGGGCAACTAGCCGCGGCGGGGTGCCTGCACTCATCGCGCGATGAGCGCCACGAGGAGGCGGAAGGTGACGACGTAGGGCTCGACGAAGAGGGAGCCCACGAAGCCGTCGGAGACGTAGTGCGCAAAAGTGCTACCATCCCAGACTTGCGACAGAGCGCGCCATGGGCGGTCCTCGCTGCATGGCCAGCAATCCCAGCATCCTCGGCGGGAGGACCTGCAGGTCGGGACGGCAGGCTGTCCCTACCTGCACATTGCGCGGCCATCCACCCTCGCGGGTTGCGAAACTACGAGGGGGCGACGAGCGCGAGGTGCAAATCCACGCTCGACCCGTTTGACCGCGTCAAGCCGGTTCCTTCGCGTGGCCGCATTGCCAGAAAGACCGGCGCAGGGAATGCCCAGCTTGCGCGCAGCGCGGACCTCCCCAATGGAGCAGTGCGCGCAACGCCAGCCACAGCAGTAAACTTGGTTGTTCAGGAGCACGACGTGACCCAAGTCTGCAAACACCGCTGACGCGTCCTCAGCCATGGGCTGGGCGGGCCAGGAATCCTGCTGAGAAGCTGTTGGCCATCCTTCGCTCGCCAACGCAGCCCCCGCAGCAACGCAAGCACGTTGGTCACCACATAGCGTCCAATCGTCGCCACCGCTGCGAATGCACTCGGCGTGGAGGGCGCGCGCCACACGCGACGGCCGACATTCGCGATGGGAGTCTGTCTGCAGAAAGTCAAATGAGGCACCCGTAGTGGCCGTGACACCGCAATGGACGCATCGACACCTGCCTAACGAAATCGAATGCGCAAATGGATGGTCCGTATTGCGCGGAATCGCAACGGCCGCGGCATGCTCGCCTGGCGGCCGCGAAACCTCCACATCACGCCCCCAAGCCTTACGGGCAACAACCTGCAGCGCAGCCCAGGAGACAAACTGTAAAACCTTACGGTGCTGTCCAAGAGCAGCAGTGGCGGCTTCCGCCGCGGAGCCAGCCAGCGCATGGGAGGCGGCTCCACAGCGAGCGAAGTAGTCTGCCCACCCTATGCCAATCCAGTCTCGCAACTCATAGGGGTCGGCACCAACGAGTTCATCCAAAGACCTGTGGGCTGGCGTCCACCTGAACGTCGGAGGGCGGCATAGGGTCCGTCGTCGGCAAGCCTCGAAGATGTCCCGCCAAGCGTGGGCATGCTTGGCCCGTCCTTGCGCGAGCTCAAGAGACCGGCGTTCGCCTTCCTGCGCCGGCGCCAACAGGTCCGTCGCAAAGCACTGGTGATCCGGAAAGGCCTCAAGCCCCTCTCTGATGGCACACCGCTCAGCGTGCGCCGACAGGCTCTTCGCGCGCGCCGTCCTGTTCCACCGCGCTTGCGATCTGCTCGAGGGTGGCCTGGGCCAGGTGGCGCCGCTCGTCGTGGCCGAACTCCCCCGTGCGCTGCGCGGCGGCGCGGCGCGCCTGGGTGGCCTCTCGAAGCCTTCCGCAGTCGTGGTCGGTCTGCTCTGAGCCCTTGCCGCTATCGCCCCCTGAGCTCGTGCAGGATGTCAATGTTCTGGCCCTCGAGCCCGACGCCCGCCTCCAAGTAGGCAGAGTAGAGCGCGACCGCGCCCATCCCAGGCAGACGAGCGCGCCCGACGCGCGCTCTCCCTGGCCGCAGAATCCGGTCCTTCGGGCCATGCCAGAAGTCGATGCACCTCTTGGCTAGCACCGCGACGCCCCCTGGCGCTCATTGTGCTTGATGGTGGCGAGCGCGAACTGCATAGTCCATCCTGGGTTTCTGAGAGCGCGCCTGATCTCCAAGAGCCGCCCCCGAGACTGCCTGCATTTTTGCGCGAACAAGATGGCGTCAGGGATCAACGGCAAAATGTCTCGCCCAGATCCCAGGGGAGCGATGTTGGCTGCGACGCAACTGAGGCGCTGGTGCTGGACCTCCTCCCCCGAGGAGCTCGCAGAGGAAAGCGTCTCATTGGCCAGGGGCATCCTTTCTTGGCTAAACCCGCTGCCGCGTCTTGCCCATGCCCAGGCGCACGACGAGTTCCTCGAGGGCCCTCCTGCTGTCTTGGGAGCTACACGCCTTGCTGATTTCCTCTGAGTCATTCTCCTCCAGGTCGGGCTCCATGGGCGTGGGCGCGTTGACCGCTTGGTCCACGTTAGCGTCGCCTTCAGCCTCGGGCTTGGCGCTGGCCACCCACGCCTGCTGCTTGGCAAGCAGCTTCGCCACCGTCTCCACCACAGGTGCCTCCAAGGAGGCTGCCTCGGGGGCCAGGGCCAGGGCGCGCCGAGCTTGTGCCCGGGCATCGTCCGTGGTGTTCGGCTGACCCAGCGGCATGGCACGCGCCATGGCCTGGCTGAGGCTGGTCTCGAACTCGGAGATGTTGGCGATGGCCTGCGTGATGGCGGCCATTTGGCTGGCGACGGCGGCCTCTGTCTCCTCGACCAGCTCCTGAGCTGCGACGACGTCCTGCTGCTTGCCCACAAGGTCTGCCTCGAGCTGCGTGCGTCGGGCCTTGGCGTTGTCCAGCTTGGCGCCGAGCGAGGTGGCACCGCCTGCGGTCCCTTGATGGCGACCCAGCGGTGCTTGAGCTTGGCGAGGTCCTGCTCAAGGCTGGCCACGTCGATGCCGCCTGAGCGGAGTTCTCGAAGCTGATGATCTTAGCCTCCCCCTCATGGGGCTCAGGGTCGGCGGCTGGGGCTGCAGCTGCGGCATCAGGTGCGGAGCCATCAGCTCCAGGGCGCTCGGGGCGGAACTGGAGGTGTCCTGCCACCACACCGCCAGTGGTGAGCCGCTCGAGCGCTGCCGCGAGCGTGGCGATGTTGGCTTCGAGGCGCCGGTGCCCTGCAGCGCCGCCGACAGCTCCTCCTGCAGCAGGGTGCGCACGTGACTTGGCCTTGGATCGGGCAGCGCGGCTTTCCCGCTGGGCCACCACCTCCTGGTTGGCTTGCTGCGCCTTGCGGGTGATGTGCGGCGGGGCGTCACGGCCGCAGAAGCACACCACCCTGTTGGCCCACAACCCGTCTTGGCGGCAGCCAAGGCACCTCCAGAAGGGCTCCTTGGGTCCCAGCAGCACTTTGCGGTTGCCAGCGCCAGGAGCAGCAGCGCCATGGGGGCTTCGGCGGCATGGCCGCGGCCTCCACGTGCTGGAAATGATGCCCGCGGAGGGCCGCCTGGGCCCTCGCCAGCCGCAAGGCGTGGCGGGCAGTGGCCCGTCGACTCCGCAATTTCCTGTGCCAGGCTGGCGACCGCGAGCGAAACTTCCCGCGCGGGATGGCGGCGGCGCCACCACGGCGCGCCGCGCCATGGGCGTAGCGCGATAGTGCAGGCCCGTGATTGCAGCGGGCCCGCGGCGGGTGGGGGCTCGGTGCGAGCGGGCCCCTGAGCCAAAATGGCTCGAGCCAAGCCAAAATGGCTACGGAGGAGGAGGAGGAGGAGGAGGAGGATGGGAGGACGAGAAAAAGGAGGAGGGGAAAGAGGAGGAGGAGGAGGATGAGGAGGATGATGAGGATTAGGATTAGGAGGAGGAGGAGGAGGAGGAGGAGGAGGAGGAGGATGAAGAGGAGGAGGAGAGGTGGCAGGCACTTCCCCTTTCACAAGGCAGGCGCCCCCTCGCCCACCGCAAGGGCGCCAGCATCGTCGTCCAGCCACTCCTGCCAGCCCTTCAGCATCTCCATCAGCTTCTGGTCCGCCAGCCTATGCCCCCAGGTGCTAGGAGGGAACATGCCAGGTATGGGCGTCCAGTCGTCGAACATATCTCCCTCGACATCCCTCTATATTTTCCTACCTTCCTCCCTTCCTTCCTTCCTTGCTCTCTTCTCCTTCGCATCCCCGCGCGGGCGATCTGTCGAACACACGTCGCAACTTGTTCCTGCACTGCGGGCATAGTCTCCCGCTGGAAAGCGGTGGTTCTGGCCAAGCGACGTTCCTGCACTGAGGCGATCGTCTCTGAATGCGCCCGACCGTCGCGTTCTCCCATGTCACGGATCGTGTTCACCATGCTGCGTTGCTGCACTCTTTGCGCCATCTCGAGGGGCGACCCGTTGCTTGGCAAACGCCGAACACATGGATCAAACGCTGTCTAGAGAGGACAGCCGCACGACTATGTCCAGGGCTTCGGGTCCCAGGGTCGTGCCGCAGAACTTGCTGATCGCCAATTGCTATGAAGGCGCCCAGGGACACAGAAATTCGCCGGCCCAACGGGCCAGAGGCGTGCTAAGATCTCCGGTAACTGGTTAACAATATTCTACTTCGCGCGCGCGGGGCGGCCCCCTGGGGGTCTCCGGGCGAAAAGTACCCCGGCAGGGTCCCGGCAGACTCGGGTCAGAGATGGTTTTCGGGGCAATTTTTCGACACCCCTCACGAGGATCGTGGCCTCCGATGGGGGAGCCGCAATTGACTACCCCCCCCCCCCCGCCCCAAGAGGCCCCCAAGAGCCCCCCAAGATGCCCTGGGGGCCCCCAAGACGCCGCGCGATTAAATAGACAGACGCACGCCCATCAACATGCCCCGTATGCTCCAGGCTTTCTGGACCGTCGTCCTCCCCGCCACTTCCAATGGTATCCCGTGCTTCCTGGGCGTCGACGACTCCATGCGTCTGCGTGTTACCTCCCCTCCTCCGGGGGCGGCCAAGAGGGGGGCGTCCAAGAGGGGGGGGGCGCAAATCATGGCTGGCGGCATGTGCGCGGCCCAGGGGGGGGGGGGCCAGGAACGTAACGAACCAAGAGGAGGCGCCATGAGATCTGGGGAAAGATCATGGCCCCCGCCGTGATGTCCCCCCCCCTTGGTCATCACCCCTCTCTTTGCCGCCCCCGACTCCTGGCACCAGGACGACCTCTGCAAGTGCACGAGGGAGGCGGTTTGAGCAGGGACCGACCGTCCCAACATTCCTACAGTCCTACCACGAAATGTTCTTAGAACCCGGAAATGTTCTAAGGACAAAAACATGGTTCTTGGACCATAGACCCGACGTGTTAGAACAAGGCAATATCAACCAGACATGTTCTGAGAACATCTCGTGGAAACCACAAAAGGTTCGTACAACATTGCTTGGTAGGGCTACAGGCGAGCCAGGATCAAGGGGCCCCAGGACACACACAAATGAATACACACGAATAAAATGATCCCCCATACTTTCCCACATCTTCTGGGCTTCTTGTCTTCCCGCCCAATTCCCATATTTTCCCATCTTTTCCTGGGGATCGACGATGAATTCTGTCTGTGTGTTTTCGGGAGCGGCCAAGAGGGGGGTGTCCAAGAGGGGGGGGGTGCAAATCATGACCGGCGGCATGTGCGCGGCCCAGCGGGGGGGCCAGGGACGTAATGAAACGAGAAGAGGCGCCATGAAACCTGGGGAAAAATCATGGCCCGCGCCATGAAATCCACCCCCCCCAGTCATCACCCCCCTCTTTTCCGCTCCCGATGCTTTCCCCCTCCTGACAGGACGCTTCGCCCCTGCTTAGGCGGGCCCACCCCAGAGCGTGCCGCCGGCTCCTCCAGGAGACTGGGTCTCTCTCCCAGCTGGGCCCTCCGGGCCCCCCCAGGGGGAGAGAGGGCCCCCCAAAAGCCGCCGAAGAGCACCCCCCGTGGTCCTGGAGCAGCCCTCCCTCCTCCGCGGCCCCCCGTTTCAGAGGTGGTGGCCCCCCTCCCCCTGAGACCCTGGGCGTTGCAAATTTCTGTTCGCCACGGGGGATTTCTCGCTCGACTTCGGGCCCCGGGACCCTCACAGATCGATCAGGCTCGAAAAATGGCGCAGGAAGATGCGGTCCGGGGATCTGGGCGTGATTTTTTGCGACGTTGCATTTTTTTTGCAACGTTGGATCCCCCCTACAGTGGGGGTCCGTCCACAAGACACCTTTCACAAGGAACCCAACCCTTTGACCGCAGGGCGTCCATCGATTTTTGGTGTGGGAACGTCACGTCCTCCATCGCAGAACCATCGAAATCGAAGAAACCCAGGACACCCTGGAGGCAAGCAGGGTGTTTTTGTTGGCATGGGTCTCCACTGTAGCAGTGCACCCCTCTCGGCGCTGCCCGCAGAACAATTGAAACCCCGATCCCCCCCCCACGGAACATGTCCAGGTGCACGGCCTCGCGGGCCAGGTTCCTAGGCCGCGTATCTCGAAAAAACTATGCGTAAGCATAAACTTTTAGAGTTCGGTGCCTTCCCTGGAGCGCGGAGCGCGCCAGGGAAGGCGCCAGAGGCGCCGCCAGGGGGTTCCAGGGGGTTCCAGAGGCGCCAGAGAAATCCGCGCACAGCTCAGACAAGTCATGCTTATGCTAGGTCGGGCATGTCCTCCTACACGCGGATTCAGCAGGAAAATGTGAACTAGCCGAAAGATGCTCAAACAAACAAGCAAATAATAGTTGAAACATCGTCCCCAGACCATTTCCCGACAATTTTTAATGCTCCCCCTGTAGAGGGACAAGCCCGACGTAAGGTCATGCCGTGCGTGCTCCTCTAATACCCACGGCGCCGCGTCTCAGAACCCGGACCACGAGGGTGTGGATGTGGATGCTGTCGCCGCTCGTGCTAGGTCGGGCATGTCCCCCTACAGGCGGATTTTTTGGAGGAAACGCTGAACATTCTCAAAACATGAACATGCTCAACAACATCCCCAAATCAGTCGGAAACATCGCCCCCAGACTATTAGTTATTTATTTTTTCTAATATTCCTGGGACATTCGGGCCAGGCGAAAGGGGGTATAGCAAAGGGGGGGTTTGAGAATCAGCTCACGTAGCTGATTTTCCCAGCGCCTCCTGGCGCCGGGAGGCGGCCATGTATCGAGGCATGGGCCCGGCGGCGGGGCCGAAACCAGCTGCACGCAGCAGATTTCGTAACCTCCCCATTCCCTATCCCCCCCTTTCGTTCGGCCCGAGACATGCTCGACTGATTTGGACGCCTGAAATGGGTACGGGAACAATGGGTACCATGCCCAACAACAGATGTTGTCCCATACCAACAGCGGCCGCTGTTGGGCAGGCGGCCTCCTGTCTCGAAGGGACACAGGCCGCGGCGGCGTGGACAGCGAGTCCTGCTCAGAATGAACAGGAACTGCTGTTGGGCATCGTACCCATTCTTTCCGTGCCCGTTCCGGGCGTCCAAAACTGAACGCTCGTGCTCGTGGATCTTCTGACCCGGGTCAATCCAGACCTGGGTCAGCCAGGCCTTGCAGAATCCTGCAAGATCCTGCAAGACCCTGCACCCAAACCCGGGTCAGTGCGAAGGATCCTGCAAGATCCTGCAGGATCCTGCACCCAAGCCCGAGTCAATGGGAGCCTGGCTCTGCAGGACCCTGCAAGATCTGGCGCTCTGGCTGGCCCCCGTTTGCATTGACCCCCGTCTCAAGGCTCCGAGACATGCTCGACTGAACGCTCGTGCCCCCGCTCCCCGAGGGAAGCGAAGGGCAACTCCTCCTCTTCCTCCTCCTCCTCCTCCTCCTCCTCCTCCTACTCCTCCTCCTCCTCCCTTCCTCCCCCTCCCTCCCCTCCCTCCCTCCCTCCCTCCCTCCCCCTCCCCCTCCCCCTCCCTCCCCCCTCCCTCCCCCTCCCCCCTCCCCTCCCCTCCCCCCCTCCCCCCCTCCCCTCCCTCTCCCCTCCCTCCCCTCCCCTCCCCCCCTCCCCTCCCCTCCCCCTCCCCTCCCCTCCCCTCCCCCCCCCCTCCCTCCCTCCCCCTCCCCCTCCCCTCCCCCTCCCCTCCCCCTCCCCCTCCCCCTCCCCCTCCCCTCCCCCTCCCCCTCCCCCCCTCCCCCTCCCCCCCCCTCCCCCTCCCCCCCCCTCCCCCTCCCCTCCCCCTCCCCCTCCCCCTCCCCTCCCCTCCCCTCCCCCTCCCCCTCCCCCTCCCCTCCCCTCCTCCTCCTCCTCCTCCTCCTCCTCCTCTCCTCCTCCTCCTCCTCCTCCCTCCTCCTCCTCCTCCTCCTCCTCCTCCTCCTCCTCCCTCCTCCTCCTCCTCCTCCTCCTCTCCTCCTCCTCCTCCTCTCCTCCTCCTCCTCCTCCTCCTCCTCCTCCCTCCCCCCCCCGGCGGCCGGGAGTTCTGCGTGCGCACCTGCTGCTCCTCGCGGGCGAGCGCCTGCGTGAGCGGTGGGGCGCCGCGGGGGCGGGGGCGGCGCGCCCCGACGAGGGGGCGGCGCCCCGCGGGGGGCCCGCCGCGGGCACGGGAAGGAAAAGGAACGCGCGGGTGTCGGGGGGGGGGGACGAGTCGTCGAGGTACTATCAGAAGGAACGCTAAACAAGGGGGGGGCGCCCCGACGAAGGGGGGGCGCCCGACGAAGGGGGGGCGCCCCGCGGGGCCCCCCGCGGGCACAGGAAGGAACGGGACGCGCGGGTGCGGGGGGAGGAGGAGTAGTCGAGGTTTTTGTGGGCTCCGGAAACGGCAGGGCCGTGTTTTCACCGTTTCCAGAAAATGCCTTTTTGAACATGGAAACGGCAACAAAAAGGCGACTGGAAACGGCAAAAAAACGGCTCCAGGATTGGAGCCGGAACCGGTCAAAAAACGGCGACGGAACCGGTAAAAAAACGGCGAAACGGAACCGGCAACAAAACGGAGAAACGGAACCGGTGAAAAAACGGCCCTCTAGTTTCCGGGGCCCACTCAGGTCGAGGTACTATCAGAAGGAACGCTAAATAAGGAGCGAATGACGAACGAGCAACACACGCCCATACTCATGGGGGGGTCGTTGGGAGGAGGACTGGCTATGGGTATGGGTGCGGGTTGTCGGACCCTGGGGAACGCTCCCGTTCGAGCGGGGACCCCCATCCGACAACACGCGCCCATAGCCCTCTCCGACCCCCCATATGGGTATGGGTGTGTATTGTTGGTTCGCCAACGAAGCCCCCTGTTGGCCTCAGAAGCGCCCAGGTGCACGAGGAGTGATGGAGGGGGAGCGATGGAAGAGCGTGAGGAACAGCGAGCCCCTTCCGCACCCGAGGCGTGCCTTATTTCAGCGTCTTGGCTGTAGGGGAACGAAATATGACGCATACAGAAAAACTCGGCGGTCCGCGCGGATTTCTCCGATCCGGATCCCTCAGATCCGCGCTGGACCCCCCTAGCGGCGCCTGCGGCGCCGCCTCTGGCGCGCTCCTCGCTACAAGGAGGTCCAGCGCAGATCCAAGAAATCCGCGCGGACCTCGGAGTTTTTCTGTTTACAATGGGGGCCAGTCCACAAGACACTTTCCACAAGAAGCCCAACTCTGAGACCCCAGGGCGTCCATTGATTTTATGGTGTGGGAGCGTCACGATGTCCATAGCAGAACCATCGAATCCCAAGCAACCCTGGGTACCCTGGAGGGAAGCAAGGTGTTTCTTGGCATGTGCCCCCACTGCATGTTTATGTCATTCTTTGTTTCCCCTAAAGAAGCAGGACACGCTCGGGGCATGGCGTCCTTGACCGCGTGTGCTGGAGCACGGCATGCACAGCGGTAAGGTGTGGAAGGAGTCAGAGGACAAGAGGGGAGCACACGCATCTTGCCGTCTGTCGTGCGGGAAGGGCCCACGAGGCCTCCGGGCCACTTGTATGAGTCTGAGTACAAGAAGGTCCAGACAGTTCTGTAGAATGCCATTGTGGATTCTCGATCGAGCCCCGACGATTCAGTAGAATCCTGACGATTCTGGAAAATATCACATTTTCATAACAGAAGGCCAGGCGGCTCCATCTCTGCCCCCTCGGCGACGGCACCTGGCCCCCCAGTGCCAACAGCTGGACAAGGGGAGCGGAGAGCACAAGAGAAGACGTTGGGAGGGCCATGGAGCGCGGAATTGGGGTGTGCAATGAGGGGGACGATCAGGGAGAACTCGCTCAAGGGGGCGGGACATCGACCTGGAATCGGCCATACATCGCCGATAGATCGGCCATAGCGAAGCAGCGCGTTCCTGGGCGGGGTGGACTGTCAGGCCCAGGCCCCTATCGGCGATCAGTGGGCGACTGATTGTCCATGCATCCCCCCCGAGCCTATCCCCTCCAATGTTGCCCCTGATGCAGGAGAAGAATAACGGTAACTCTCAATAAGGTCACCACAACGTCGGAGAGAGCGTGATCCACCGCCACTTTGCTATGGAACCTTATCCGCCCTCTTCATCCGGAACCTGGGGGTCCCTCCGAAAATCCTCCCCTCCTGCTCGAACACCCCCCCTTCTCCCGGTAAAACAATCCACCCCAGCCTCCCCCCCCCTCCAGAAAACTCGGGGGGGGTTCACTACTGGTTCGAACCCCTCCTCCCCTTTCCCCCGGCTCACGGGAAAACCGGGGGAGGTAAACTACCAGTTCGAACCCCGCACCCACACTCGCCGCTGGCAAACGACTCCTGGGTCCCCACCACCGCCCCCACCACCGCCCTCACCAGTGTCCCCACCACCACCGTCACACCACTGTCCTTCTGTCCCCACTGTCACTGTCCCCACCACTGTCCCACTGTCCCCACTGCTCCCAGTCCCTTTCCCCACTGTCCCCACCACTGTCCCCACCATGGTCCCACCCTCCCCACTGTCCCCACAAATGTCCCACGGTCCCCACTGTCCCTACCACTGTCCCACTGTCCCAAATGTCCCCACAGCTGTCCCACAATGCTGTCCCACTGTTCCCGCCACTGCCCCACTGTCCCCACTGTCCCCACCACTGTCCCTCTGTGCTACTGTCTCATTGTCCCACAACCGTCCGCACCACCGCCCTCACCACTGTTCCCACCACCACCGTCCCCACCACTGTCCCACTGTCCCCACCACTGTCCCACTGTCCCCTCGCCACTGTCCCCACCCCGTCCCACCACTGTCCCACTGTCCCCACTATCCCCACCACTGTTCCACTGTCCCCACTGTTCCCACCACTGTCCCCACTGTCCCCACCAGTGCCCACACCACTGTTGCACTGTCACCAGTTTCCCCACTGCTATTCCCACCACGGTCCCACTCACCCCAGTGGCCCCACTGTCCCTACCACTGTCCCACTGTCCCCACTGTTCCCACTGTCCCCACCGCTGTCCCACTGTGCTGTCCCACTGTCCCTACCGTCCCCACCATTGTCCCACAGTCCCCACCACTCTCCCCTTTGTGCTACTGTCTCATTGTCCCACCACCGTCCGCACCACCGCCCTCACCACTGTTCCCACCACCACCGTCCCCACCACTGTCCCACTGTCCCCACCACTGTCCCACTGTCCCCTCGCCCACTGTCCCCACCCCGTCCCCACCACTGTCCCACTGTCCCCACTATCCCCACCACTGTTCCACTGTCCCCACTGTTCCCACCACTGTCCCCACTGTCCCCACCAGTGCCCACACCACTGTTGCACTGTCCCCAGTTTCCCCACTGCTATTCCCACCACGGTCCCACTCACCCCAGTGGCCCCACTGTCCCTACCACTGTCCCACTGTCCCCACTGTCCCCACAGCTGTCCCACTGTGCTGTCCCACTGTGCTGTCCCACTGTTCCCGCCACTGCCCCACTGTCCCCACTGTCCCCACCACTGTCCCTCTGTGCTACTGTCTCATTGTCCCACAATCGTCCGCACCACCGCCCTCACCACTGTTCCCACCACCACCGTCCCCACCACTGTCCCACTGCCCCCACCACTGTCCCACTTTCCCCTCACCATTGTCCCCACCACCACCTTCCCCATCACGGTCCCACTGTCCCCTGTCCCCACCACTGTCCCACTGTCCCACTCTTCTCACCACTGTCCCCACTGTCACCACCAGCGCCCCCACAGCTGTCGCACTGTCCCCAATGCCCCCACCACTGTCCCCACCACTCCCGAGTCCCCACTGTCCCCACCACTGTCCAACTGTTCCCACTCCCCACCACCGTCCCCACTACCGTTCCAACCACTGTCCCCCATCCGGAGTGGGACGGAAGGGGAGTCGTCTCGCATGCAGTCCCTGCAGGTGAACTGCAGAGTACGTGCAGAATGCTCTGGAAGGTGGCGGGTGAAGAGTGTCGACCGATGCCAGATGTTACAAACTGTCTTTCTCTCCCTCACCCTCGCTGCGCCCTCCCCCATCGCTTCCTCCTCTCTCCCGCTTTCCCTGCCTTTCACCTCCTCTCCCTCCTGCTCGCATACTCCCATGTGGAAATGAGGCTTCCCAACAAACGCTCTTACCGTCACTGTACGTCACAGTTGGCTCACACATGGCTCCTGGTGGATTCCAATTGGGTTCAACATTCGTGTAGGGCGTGCCCGCTAACGCCTCCCACATCAACATATGACCCTTCGCCCTCCCGGCGAATGCAGACGTAAATCTCATATGCTTGCCTCGTGTACGGGTGACTTCTGCGCATAATGCTTGCACATCAGGTCTCCTCAAACATATGCACCACCCCCTCGACGGCGCAAGGCTGTGAAGCGTGCTGCTGGTCTGCTGCCTTCTCCCCTCTTCGTGCTGTCTTTTGCCAGTGCTCCTGACCTCTCCAATCCTGCCTCCTCTCTGCTGTCTACCAGGAGGGGCCCGACCTACCGGAAGGGAACACTTGGGGCGGGTATCCCTCAGCCTCCTGGCTGCTCGAGGTTGCCCGAGATTCCAAGACAACCGACGCAGGCTCCAAGATCCGACGCCATTCCCTGAGGCACGAGTTGGAGTGTCCTCCAGTCCCCTAGAGTCCTCCGTCCTCAATGGTGAAGATTCCTTCCGATGGCTCCAAGACGCCAATGGACTCCACACGGCCCAAGAAGGCCCCAGGCAGCCTCAAGAGGGATGTCCAAGAGGCTCCCAAAGGCCAACCTCGTGTGTTCTCGTTGGGTCGTAGAAGGACTTTAGCCTTCTCCCCTTTTCGGCCTTTCCACGCCCCAAGACGATCCAAGAGGCTCACGATGTCGCTCCAAGAGGGCCCAAGAGGGCACCCCGGGCGGCCCCAGCGGGACACACGGCTCGCCTCCGAGACGGCCCAAGAAAGCCCCAACATGGGGTGCCCAAGAGAGGCCCCCAAAGGAGAAGAGGAACCGATATTTCCAGCCATGCGCCCACACAGGAGCCTCAGAAGCTGCAGGAGGCCCCCAAGAGGCCCAACCCAGGCCCCAAGGGGTCCCCCAAGAGCCCCCCAAGAGGCCCCCAAGCTTGGCGGCCGCAGAAACACCCTGGAGTCACCTCCAGGAGGCTTCCGAGAAACCTCCCAAGAGATCCCCACAGGCTTTCAAGACGCCTCTGCATCACAACCAAGGTCACTACAGCCAACCCGTATCATGAGGATGCGCGGTAAGGACGCAAGGACGAGATTGGCCAGCGAAGTTCGCTAAGAGTGGGCCGAAGGGGCACGGATGCAAGGGCAGCCTCGAAGAAGTGGCTCATCTTACTATGCGGGTTGACTGTAGATCTGCCGCCCCACGTGGTCTTGCCACAGGGATGCACAGCGTGCCGATTTTCTGGCAACCTTTCTATTCTTTTTTGAAGAACTCCCGCTGGGGTCTCGGCCCAAGCCGCCGGCCACCCAGAACGCCTGAGAAGATGTACAGTCGAGGGGTTTCCCGTCCGAAAGGGCCCCAAGATGGCCTCCAAGCCAGCTATTCGGCCTCCAAGACGGCCAAGACGACCCCAAGAGCGCCCAAGACTGCGGCCAAATGTTTCCACGACGGCCCAAGATACACTCAAGACGGCCTAAGATGGCCTTCAGACGGCCCAACTCGGCCATCGAGGCCCCCAAGAGGCTTCCAAGAGGTCCTCCAGAAGGCCCGAAGAAGCCCAACTCATGTATTTCCATTTGGCGTTTGTAAATGCAGATTTTCGCTTGGGCTTCTTTCGGACCTTCCGACGGTCCAAGACGGCCCCAGAAACCAACAAGATCGCCCCAAGAGCGCCCCAGAGACCTCCAAGATGGCCACATGGCGGCCCAAGGAGCTCCCCAAACGGCCACAAGAGGGCCCAAAGACGGTCCAACAGGTTTCCAAGACGGTCAATCTGTCCTCCCAAGCGGCCATGAAACGACCCAAGATGGCCCCCAGTCGGTTCAGAGCGGCCCCCGAGATGGTTTTCAGCGGCGTTCGATGGGCTAAGAACGCCAAGACGGCCAAAGAGGACCCCAAGAACTCCGCAAAGGCCCCAAGAGGCCCCCAAGGAGGCCCCCCAAAGGCCTCCAAGAAGCTCGCAGGAGGTTACAAGACTTCCCAAGAAGATGGGGGCTGCGGTGGTTCGCAACAGGCGTCTTCCATACTTCTACGACTGTCGAAGACGGCCCCAAGACGCCCCCGAGAGAACAGCAACACTGAAACATCAAGATGGTATCGATGTTTTGTTTGGTCCGTCCCATGATCTGCTCCCGCGATGCCCCAAGACCGCTTCAAGACGGAAGACGGCACCGAGGTGACCCCAAAAAAGGCTCGGAGCTGGCGTCCAAATCGCTCGCCCAGGAGGGCCCCACGAGGCCGCAAGAGGATCCCAATCTCATACCCCGGATTCCATAACAAAGTGGGGTGGGTCACATTCGGGGGGGGGGGGTCTGATTCGAGCTGTCTTGGAGGGTTCGGGGGGGTCTGGGCCAAGGGCCGCCCTTTCATGGATGGTCTGGGGGGGTCTAAAACTTATCGTCTGGGAGGGTTGTGACCCCCTCCCTTTTATTACGAAATCTGGAGTACCCAAGGCCGCCCGAAGGCGGCCCCAAAGGGCTGCAAGATGCCCCGGGAAGGCCCCCGAGCCTCCCTGGGCCCGCGAGGGCCCCACGGGGGCCCCGCGGTGGCCCCGCGATGCCCCCCAACGGTGCTGCCCCGTCCGGCGCCACGCGACGGCCCCGCGGTGCCCGCAGGGGGGGGGCCCGCGAGGGGGGCCGCGGCGGTGCCCCGTGTGGCCACGGGATGGCTCGGCCTGCAGGGCAGCGCGGCCGAGGCGTGGCCCTCTGGGCGTGGCTTAATGAGGGGAGCCAAAACAGCAGAGATGGTGGAGCCAAAACAGCAGCTGCCGATACCGCCACTCCCCGGACCTCTCCCGGGGGGCGGCCTGGCTATTGGGCGTGGCTTAATGGGGGGGTCACAACGGGGGGGGGTCAGGAAAGGTCCCAGTTCGTGCCCCTTGCGGGCCCCGCCAGAGCCCCAGGGGGGCTCGTTTGGGTACCGTTTGGGTACCTTTTCGGACCACACTCGCCGCCCCCCCATTTATGATCACCCATTACGCAGCGCCCAAGCCCTGTCAGATACCGGAACTCCGGCGTGATCTCAAGATGGTGTCCCCAAAGGGCCCGAGACATAACACGAGGATGTCACAAGATCGCAGACATGCACTACGTCCAAGTATACGAAGAGTACAATGAGGGCTCCGACATCTTAACATCACCTTCTGGCGTGGGCTTCGGAGATCTGGCTCTGCAGCGCTTTGCAAACAGGCGGATCACCGGGGGATTCAGAAATACAAACCCTTGGTGGTTCACATAATCAATGAAAGATCCCTAGCGCGTCCCTGCATGTTCTGCCGTTGCACCTATCCTGTGTTTAGATCCCATGCAACCGTGTATGAACCACCACACGTAGGTATCCTTTCGGAATTCCGTCAAAGGAATGATGTGACCCTTTTGCATGCGCCACACATCAAAGTTCCGAAATTACGCGTCGAACTACACCAGGACAGCTTCCGCGGTACGATCACATTTGGTAGATATCTCATAAACTTATGTGCGTCACTAAGGATCACAGTTTCCCGTAGACCTGAGCTATGCATCCTTTATGATTTCGAACTTGTTTCTGAAGGAAGTGCATTCGCGTGCCGTTGTGGTACAACTGAAGCGTGTGCAACACAAGCGAACCTACCTTTCTCCCGTCAAGAGACCCTCCACGAACACCTGCCACATGTTTCGCGACTTCGTGCGTCAGGCACCCCAAAAGCAACCAAGCTTACGCTGCCTCAGCTCGGGGGGGGGGGCAAGAAGCACCCCTGACCCTTTGGGAGCCCCCCCCCCCCGGGGCGCCATCTTGGGGCCCCTGCGGCCCCCTGGGCCTCGTGATGGGGCGCTCTGGAAGCCGCAAGCCACCTGGTCCTCCTGGGGAATCCTGGGGACACCTTCGACCAGGGACGCGATGAGAGAAACGTCAGGGCTTGGGGGGAGAAGGGGGGATCAGGGGGGGGGGAGAAGGGGCGCCGATCGGCAAGCAACAATTACTAAAACAACGAGCACAAACAGCAAGGATCGGGGGGGGGGCCAGACCACCTCTGACGCCCGGATGCTCCAGAGTGCCCGCCGGTCGGAGGAGGTGGGCAGAGACGCGAAGTCGGAAGGCAGTGGAAACAGATCGGAGGGACGCCTCTGGCGACGCCCGATTGGCGGATGGAGGAGGAGGTGGATGAAGGAGGAGGAGGAGGAGGAGGAGAGGAGGAGGAGGAGGAGGAGGAGGAGGAGGAGAAGAGGAGGAGGAGGAGGAGGAGGAGGAGGAGGAGGAGAAGCCCCACAGGTCGCGCTGGGCCCCCCGCCCCCCGCGGGCAGGTATTGCCGAGCACCTGGCCGGGGCCGGCCGCGCCCTTCGAGCAGGCGGTGGCGCCCTTCGGCAGTGCCCAACCAGTGGCCTGTAGAGCGACGGCGCGCGCCCTGCTGCGCGGCGGCCCCTGCGGCAGGGCTCCTCGCCGCGGCAAGGCTCAGGTCGGGCATGTCCCCCACAGAGGTGGATTTTGGAGGAGCAATGAAAAACATACCCAACACAAATGGTCGAACATCGCCAACAATAGTCGAAACATCGTCCCTAGACCATCTTTCAAACGCATTTTGGAATTTTCCTCCTGTAGAGGGACAGGCCCGACTCAAGGCAAGGCCGAAAGGCCCACGGTGAAGATCACAAGTTGTGCAGCGCCTGTTGCGGGCGAAAGCTCTGGAGGGCAGGCGTGGGCGTGGGCGCGGCCATGGCAACATCGGGAGGGGGGGGGGCACGACAGCCTTTTCAACTCCGTCGCCTCTCCGCCCACCACTACGATTTCTCGTGGGTGCACGTTTCGAAGCAAACGCACCCGCAGAGAAGCCGCTGCAGTCCACGCGAACGTGCCTCCTTCAACTCCTGCCAGTACTCCTTGCGCACCGCCTCGTCGCCCACTGCCCGCTCGTCCCACTGCGCCTGGGCGGGGATCTGGGGATGAGGACGAGGAGGAGGAGGAGGAGGAGGAGGAGGAGGAGGAGGAGAACCAGTGTAAACCCAAGAGTCATCAACGACGTTGGAATTAACTTTCCCTCCAAACTCCCTCTACATAGGTCCTTACAACGGTTCATTCCCATCGAGGGAACTGCCTCGTTGAAAGACAAGCGTTCGAAGATCCTGAAGCATGCCAAAACATTGTGCTCGGGATTTCAACGCCACGTATGAACCTGACTGTTGTCTTCTGGCGATCCGGAATCGTGCCATAACGCCATGTTTTGGATTCCAGCACCGCGAATCATAACTGTTGCACCCGCACATTCCGGAATCCTTCCAAAACACCGTTTTTGGTACGCTGATCATGGGAACCAAAGAAACTCTTGCAAATGTTTCAAACGAACGTGCGCGGCGCTAAGGCGAGAGCCACGTTTTGAAACCAGCCGCCCTCGATCCGTGAAACTCTTGCATTTTTGCAAACAATGTGCGCGGCGCTGAGGCGAGAGTCACATTTTGAAAACGACCCGCCCTCCATCTGTGAGGTTGCCACTTTGAAGCTTCAGAGTCACAAATTGTGAGAACGTCTCAAGCGAAACGCCCGGCCCGCCCTAAAAACTGGCCTCGCGGTGCGACAGGGAGAAGTTACCTATAAGAAAAAGGGATGGAGGAGGAGGAGGAGAAGGAGAGAGGAAGAGAAAGGAGGAGGAGAAGGAGGAGGAGGAGGATGAGGAGGGAGGAGGAGGAACCACGCTGCTGGCAAACAACCCTGGTCTCCTACAAAGCATTCCGCAGGAGACCCCCCCGATTCCCGACTCCTTCGGGGTCAGTGGCCTGTGGTGTCGGGTCCCCTCGCCAGTCCCCCCAACATTTTCCCCCATGCTGGAAAGCAATGGTCAAACAACGTGGTGTTTCCACTGGCCCCAGAAAATTCTTGGATGTGCCCTCTGAGCTCAAACTGCCGCGCCCTGCGCGGCTGGCACTTTTCCCCTACTGAGCCGACGTGTCGTGCGACACGGCCTGCGAACGAACGATCTCCCCCTGTGGGACCCAGCAGGTTGCCGAGTTCCACAAAGAACCGATTTTGTCGTGGGCTGCCGGGCCTGACCAAACCGTGTCCAAGGGGAGGTCGAGGATTCGGGCCGCGGGAGCTCATCTCGCTGCAGCACGCCTCCCCAGCGAATCTGCGGCCCCAATAGTGGCCAAAGATGGCCCCGCACATAGCCGACCTCACTCCACACAAGCTTCTGTATGCCCCTTGAGACTGTTCCTGAGGTGCCCACAAGACCACGAAGTCATACTAAGGATGCCCCGCGAGAGGCAAATCCCCTCTCACGGACCGCGGGCTAGAGGCAGGAGCAAGGGAACACCTGACGCTGTGAATGTCCCGCTCACAACCCTAGAGGAACAAACCATGACATAATCAAAACTTTCGGAGGTCCGCGCGGATTTCTCGGCTTGGCGCTGGACCCCCCTCCCCGGAGCGTGGGGCGCGCCAGGGGTGGCGCCGGAGGCGCCGCCAGGGGGGCCCAAGCACGATCCAAGAAAGCCGTGCGAACCTCAGAAAGCCTATGTTTCGTCATTGCTTGCTCCCCGAAGCCCTTCGCTCCCCCGAATGTCTTTGGGCGCCCGAAATATCCAGGGTAACTCGGGTCCGGGGTAACTCGGGTTTGGATTCCCGAAAAAGGAACCCGAGTTAGCCCTGACCCGAGTTACCCCTGATGATGTGGGGCTCTGGACGCCTGAATTATCCGGGGTAACTCGGGTCCGGGGTAAGTCGGGTTCGGATTCCCGAAAAACAACCCCGAGTTAACCCTGACCCGAATTACCCCTGATGATTCGGGGCACTGATGTCTCGCTCTGACGCCCAGATCCCCCCGAGAAGCTGGCATCCCTCGGAACACGCGCGTTCCTTCCGCCTGCTTGCGCCGGCGCGGCAGCCCCTGGCTCGACTTCCGCCGCCCTCCGCCGAAGAGGGGGATCTAACTGCGGACGATCGACGAGGGTACGGGGAGATCTGGTGCCGTTGGGGCGTTGACCTGAGGGACCCTAAAGAAGGAACGAGGCCCCTCTTGTCCAGAAGTTCAACTTCGACCTCCCACCGAAAATCCCAGGATGACCTGGGGCAAAATGTGAAACAATGAAGGAACACGGAGCCCCTCCCCAACGAAAAGGGTTCCTTATTCAGAGCCCCGACTGTACGATGCCCCACAACAAAGGTTGTCCCAGACCGACAGCGGCCGCTGTTGGGCAGGCGAGGCTGCGCCTCCAAAGGGCCACGTCCGCGGCGACGCAGCCTGTCCGTCCAAGGAAAAGAAGACAAACATGGCATAAACATGAACTTCCAGAAATCCGCGCGGACTTCTTGGACCGCGCTAGACCCCCCTCCCTGGCGCGCGGAGCGCGCCAGGGGTGGCGCCGGAGGCGCCGCCAGCTGTGCCCAGGCGCCGACCCAAGAAGTCCGCGCGGAGCTCAGAGAGTGTATTCCCCAAACAGTGCTTGCACCTAGGATATCTTCACTGTTCTGTGACGAACTGGGCCGCTGGTCGGGTCGACCAACTAGCTCCACCCCGCGCCGGAACTGGCGCCGGCGGTAAACCGTCAACCTGGTCACCGCCGGAAACCTCGTAGAGCTCCTTGCACGCCTCAGGGTGCCCATAATCGAAGCAGAGAGTTCCATAGAATTCTTCCTCAGAATCGATATTTTTGCATTTTTTTATATCCGTGTGCCGCTCCAGCGGCTGTGTTGTCGTCGTCGCCGCCCCGTGGCCGCCTCGACGCCGCCCGTCGTTCGGGCCGGTGGTGCCGCTCTCTTGCGGCTAGGCAGTCGCCAGGGCCGCCCCGTCGCCGCTCCATCGCCACCTGGGCGCTCCAACGGTGTTTAGTTGTTCGCGGTGCACAGATCGAGGAGGAGGAAGGAGGGAGGAGGAGGAAGGAGGAGGAGGAAGGAGGAGGAGGAGGAGGAGGAGGAGGAGGAGGAGGAGGAGGAGGAGGAGGAGGAGGAGGAAGGAGGAGGAGGAGGAGGAGGAGGAAGGAGGGAGGAGGAGGAGGGAGGGAGGGGGTCTGGGACCCCGCCCCGTCGCGCGGCCCGATGCCTCCTCCACAGATTGCACAACATAAGTTGCACAGCATACACTGCACCATACACGCTGCACATCATTCGTTGCATAGCACAGATTGCACCACAGCGGTTCTCCTCTCGAAGTAGAAGCGAAAACCTCCTTAACTTCTCCGTACCACGTGAGGGAACGATATTAACAAACTATGTTGGCGCACCGTTCGCGCCCAACTGACTTCACACCATTCCAGCCAAACTGGTAATCCCCCCACGTCCACTGCAAGATAGTATGCGCGCGCAGCTGTCTACCAAACATCCTCCAAATTCAAAAATTCAAAGCAACAGACGGGACGAAGTCCGCACGCGCGCGTCGTCGCGCGCGCATGCCAGCCTCCGTCCAGAGGGGGAGGGGGGGCGCGATCCCTCTCCGATAAGAATATGTGGGCCGCTCGCGCGCGTCGGCTGCACGCGCATGTCGAAATCCTTCAGAAACGTTCAACGCCGACGCGTGGGCAACATCATCGTCATCGGCGTGATCAGCATCGGCGCCGTCACGAGCCTTGCCGTCGTCACCGTCATCGTCATCATCGTCACCATCATCGATACGACCATCATCGTTCTCGCCTTTGTCGACGTCACCATGATGCTGCGCCCGCCCGGGTCACCGACTCGCACTGAAGTGCCCCAAACCATGCTTGCACCTAGAGATTCTGCACTGTTCTATAACAAAGTGGGCCGGTGGGCCGCTGAGGCGGCTATGTGGTCGCCGTCGCCGCCCCGTGGCCGTCTCGACACCGCCCGTCATTTGGGCCGGTGTGCCGCTCAGGCGGCTATGTTGTCGCCGTCGCCGCTCCTTCGCCACCTTGTCGCCGCCAGTCGTTTGGGCCAGTGTGCCGCTCTGGCTGCTATGCAGTTGCCGTCGCCGCCCCGTCGCCCAAACAATGCTTACTTCTACGCGGTGTACATAGATCATACCACATATATTGCACCACGTAGGTTGCACAGCATATATTTCACATCGTGCATTCTCTTTTCTGAAAGAATTGGTTCTACCACCCTCCCCCCCTGGGGTTAAAGACCTCCCAGGAACCTATGCAAAGCACATGGGATTCTGAGCCAATGTCCATCCTACCTGTGAATTCATACTATCCCAGCCAAACCGGTATCGTCCCCCCCGCCATCCTCTGCAAAACATACTTTGCGCGCATACTCTCTCATCACAAAAATATAAGTTTTCAAAAACCCCTTGCGGAAAACGGGACGAACAGCGCACGCGCCCGTCGTTGCGCGTGGGTGCCGAAATCCTTCAAAAACCTAGGGTTTCGGAAGGATTTCAAAATCGAAGTTCCAAATCAACATGCAAAAAACACAGGGTTTCGCAACACCGCGCGCGCTCTTGCGAAGTCTTAAGAAAACCATGGAATTTTTAACATTTTCAATACATAACACCAAACGGGCTTCGCGCGCGCATGTCGAAATCGTTCGAACGCCCTTGCGCGCGTGCCTTCGCGAGAACCCTCCGCAAAAAAAACGAAGTGCGCGCGCATGCCCAAATCCTTCAAGCACATTCGGTTTCGGAACGGTTTCAAGATCGAGTGCAAATAAACATCTAAAAGCACAGGGTTTCGCAACACGTATTGTCACGTATTTTCAACAAAACCGTGCGCACGCGCTCTTGCATCGTCGTCGTCGTCGTCGTCGGCGTTCCTCCTCCCTCGGTGTCGTCGTCGTCGTCGTCGTCGCCGTCGTCGTCGACCTCTGTCTTTCCTCGTCGTCGTCGTCGTCGTTTTTGGCGTCGTCGTCGTTTCCGTCGTCGTTGTCGCCGTGATCGTCCGTCCTCGTCCCTCGTCGTTGGCGTCGTCCGTCGTCGGCGTCTCGTCGTCGTCCCTCCTATTTCGTCTCCGTCGTCGTCGTCGTCGTCGTCGTCATT